ATATGCAAATAGGTTATGCTAATGAGTTATGCTAATGAGCTCCTGCACCTCTTTTTCTACGAAATGACCCCTGACCATAAGTCAGAAGTGACTTAAAGGCACATCACACACACACACACACACACACACACACACACACACATGCTCCCTCTGAGCTGTGTAGTCTTGGAAGCAATAATTCTACTTTGTGAGCTACCGGCATTAAAAGTGGTGAGCGAGCGATTGGACTGCTGCATCAATCAGTGTGCTCTGGAGCCCTCCTTCCTGAGCTGAGACAAACAGTGTGTGAACTGGGGGCTAAAAAACTGTGAGATGGCTTGCACTGACTCAGCTTAGAGGGAACATAAGAACATAAGAGATGCCAATGTTGGATCAGGCCAACAGCCTGATCCAAGCCGCCACCACCTCCTGTGGCAGTGAATTCCAAGTGTTAATCACTCTTTAGGTGAAGAAGGACTTCCTTTTATCCGTTCTAACCCAACCGCTCAGCAATTTCATGGAGTGCCCACTTGAGTTCTTGTATTGTGAGAAAGGGAGAAAAGTACCTCTTTCTCTACCTGTTCTTTCCCATGCATAATCTTATAAACCTCAATCATGTCACTCTTCAGTCGTCGTTTCTCCAAGCTAAAGAGCCCTAAGCACTTTAACCTTTCCTCATTGGGAAAATGTTACAACCCTTTTATCATTTGAGTTGAAAAAAGGGTTGGAACACTGACACAGACGCACATTTGCTCCTACAGTTGGAGAATCGGGTTAAAGTCTTTGGAGGAAGTGACTTCTGTGGGCCTGTTTGGAAAGCTAAAAGGTCTCGAAATGTTCTTGGCTCTCATGCTGGCAGAGGGGAAAGTTGAAATATTCCTTTTGGCTCCCCAAGGGGAAATAATCAAACAGGGGAGAGGAAGGTCTCTCCCCCCCCCCGCCCCCAAGCTGGCAAAAGGCGTAGAAGCCAGGGAAGAGGAAAGATGAGAGTTGGAAGAGAAATGAGACCCATCAGGGGAGATTTATATGTTTTTTGAGCCGTGGGAATGAGGTGGGGAAGAGAAATGAAATCGGCTTATCTGCTTCCATTGTCTCGCCTTAGTCCTCCCAAAGATCGCACAGTGCTTGGGTAACAGATAGGGGCTGCGGACTCTGGGTTGTGAAATACCTGGAGAGTTCTGGGGCGGAGGGTGAGGAGGGCGGGGTTTTTTGGGGGGAGGGAATTCCGCAGGCCGTGTGCTAAAGCAGCCCGTTTCTCCAGGGGAGCCGATCTCTGTAGCCTGGAGATCCGTTGTAAGTCCGGGAACTCTCCAGTCCCCACCTGGAGGTTGGCAGCCTTAGAAAAAGAGGACTGTGCAAATGGCGTTTATCAGGGCTGGACCGGGGTTGGGTTTTTTTGACCCCCAGAGGCAAGCTTTCTCATACAGTAGAGAGAAATGGGAGTTTAAGTTGCATAAGTAACTACTGTCAAGTTATAGACTTATGGTAACCCCACCAAGGGGCTTTCAGGGCAAGGGAGAAGCAGAGGCGGTTTGCCATTATTGCCTTCCTCTGCAGAGCCTTCCTGGGTGGTCCCCCATCCAGGTATCAACCCTGCTTAGCTTCCAGCTTATGGCGACCCCAGCAAGGGGCTTTCAGGGCAAGTGAGAAGCAGAGGTGGTTGGCCATGGCCTTCCTCTGCAGAGGCTTCCTTGGTGGTCTCCCATTCAAGTATCAACCTTGCTTAGCTTCCAACATATGGCGACCCCAGTAAGGGGCTTTCTGGGCAAGTGAGCAGAGGTGGTTTGCCATTGCCTTCCTCTGCAGAGCCTTCCTTGGTGGTCTCCCATTCAAGTATCAACCTTGCTTAGCTTCCAACATATGGCGACCCCAGTAAGGGGCTTTCTGGGCAAGTGAGCAGAGGTGGTTTGCCATTGCCTTCCTCTGCAGAGCCTTCCTGGGTGGTCTCCCTTCCAAGGACGGACCCTGTTTAGTTTCCAGCTTATGGCAACCCCAGCAAGGGATTTTCCAGGACAGTGAGAAGCAGAGGTGCTTTGCCGTTGCTTTCCTCTGCAGAGCCTTCCTGGGCGGCCTCCCATCCAAGTGCCGACCCTGCTTAGCTTCTGAGCTCTGAGAAAATGAGGCTGTATCATGCTGCCTTCGGTCCCACATGCTTGACTTACTGGGCACTTAAAATGACAAATGTAACCAGAAAATCAGATGAACGATTCCAGAGCGTTCTGTGTTATGTCATGGCAGCAATAGAAGACCGGAGGCAATGGTGGAGGGGCTGTGGCTCAGTGGAAGAGCCTCTGCTTGGCACGCAGAAGGTCCCAGGTTCAGTCCCTGGCATCTCCAGCTAAAAAGGACCAGGTGGCAAGTGATGTGAAAGACCTCAGAAGAGCCCTGCTGGATCAGACCAGTGAGGGGCCATCCAGTCCAGCCTCCCGTCTCACACAGTGGCCAACCAGTTCCTCTGGAGGAGCAACAACAGGGCAGAGAGGCCGAGGCCTTCATGAGAACATCAGAAGAGCCCTGCTGGATCAGACCAGGGGTCCCTCTAGTCCAGCATCCTGTCTCACACAGGGGCCAACCAGTTCCTCTGGAGGGCCAGCAACAGGGCAGAGAGGCCGAGGCCTTCATAAGAACATCAGAAGAGCCCTGCTGGATCACACCAGGGGTCATCAAGTCCAGCATCCTGTCTCACACAGTGGCCAACCAGTTCCTCTGGAGGGCCAACAACAGGGCAGAGAGGCCGAGGCCTTCAGAAGAACATCAGAAGAGCCCTGCTGGATCAGACCAGGGGTCCATCTAGTCCAGCCTCCTGTCTCACACAGTGGCCAACCAGTTCCTCTGGAGGGCCAACAACAGGGCAGAGAGGCCGAGGCCTTCAGAAGAACATCAGAAGAGCCCTGCTGGATCAGACCAGGGGTCCATCTAGTCCAGCATCCTGTCTCACACAGTGGCCAACCAGTTCCTCTGGAGGGCTAACAATAGAGCAGAGAGGCCGAGGCCTTCGTAAGAACCTCAGAAGAGCCCTGCTGGATCAGACCAGGGGTCCATCTAGTCCAGCATCCTGTCTCACACAGGGGCCAACCAGTTCCTCTGGAGGGCCAACAACAGGGCAGAGAGGCCGAGGCCTTCATAAGAACATCAGAAGAGCCCTGCTGGATCACACCAGTGGTCATCAAGTTCAGCATCCTGTCTCACACAGTGGCCAACTAGTTCCTCTGGAGGGCCAACAACAGGGCAGAGAGGCCGAGGCCTTCAGAAGAACATCAGAAGAGCCCTGCTGGATCAGACCCGGCCCGACAAAGTGACATTTATGTCGGATCTGGCCCTCGTAACAAATGTGTTTGACACCTCTGGTAGACCTTCTACGGTCGAGCTATACAAAAAATGCCGAGGTGCACGGAATGCTGTTCCCTTCCCACCGAAGCGGTACCTATTTATCTACTTGCATTTTCTTGCTTTCGAACTGCTAGGTTGGCAGGAGCTGGGGCTAGAGACGGGAGCTCACTCCGTCACGTGGCACCCGGGTCTCAAACTGCAGAACTACAGACCTTCTGGTCTGCAGTTCCGTCTTAACCACTTGAGCCACCAGGAGGTTTGCCAACCCTACCATAAAGGTAATACCAAGGCGTAAAAATGTAATAAAATGTACAATTTCTAGCTTGGCAGGGGAAGTTAGAAGGGATTATCTTTTAATAATGCTAGCTGATAGGAATAGGGAAATTACTTTTAAAGTTGCTAAATATGGCTGGTTGGCCATTAAGATGAGAAGAAGAGGAGGAGGAGATTGGATTTATACCCCGCCCTTCACTCAGAGTCTCAGAGCGGCTTAAAAACTCCTTTCGCTTCCCCTCCCCACAACAGGCACCCTGTGAGGTAGGCGGGGCTGAGAGAGCTCTCTCGAGAACTGCCCTTTGAAGAACAGCTCTGACAGAACTATGGGTTGCCCAAGGTCACCCAGCAGCTGCAAGTGGAGGCGTGGGGAATCAAACCCAGCTCTCCCAGATTAGAGTCCGCGCACTTAACCATTACACCAAACTGGCGAAGGAAAATATGGCTAAGCCAAAATAACGGATGATATAATTAGGTAATGTCTGGACATATACATTTTATGAGTATTTTATCGAGGTCTGAGTTTTTATGTGACTATATGAAGATATTTTTATGTATATTTTTTGATATCAACATCTGGTACACATTGGAACTGGACTTTTATTGCAGTTTATATACAATGTGTAAATGATTATGGTCCAGATTACAGTTTTTAGCCATAGTTCCTGAATAATTACAGGTTTTGTAGGATGAATTTGACTAAATAATTGTAACACTTGGTATTGCCTTGTTACTTGGTTTAATGCTCTATTTTATTTTATTTTATTTTATTTTATTTTATTTTATTGATGTCGGTTATTGTTTGACATCTTTTAGCTTTGGATGTACATCGAGCTGTAATGGTCTTTGTCTGATAAATGACTATTGGATTGGTACAAGCCTTGAGAGTGTAAACATTTTACCAGACCAAATTCTTTTAATTCAGAAATTTCCAAAGCACTGGGCATGTGTTCTCACAGCTATCTTTACAACACCCCTGTAGGGTAGGGCTGCGTCATAACCAATGCTCCCTCTAAGTTGTGGAGTCTTGTGAGCAAAACTTCTACTTTGGGAGCTACTGGCATGAAAGTTGTGAGCGAGCGATTTGGCTACTGAATAAATTAGTTTGCTCTGGAGCCCTCCTTCCTAAGCGAAGACACAAATGGCTGAGCCGGAGGCTAAAAAACAGTGAGCTGGCTCAAGCTAACTCAGCTTAGAGGGAACACTGGACATAACCCCCCCTATCGCTGAAATTGAGAGAATGCTGGGTCACCTAAATGAGCGTGTGGCACAGTCGAGATTGGAACCCAGAGCAATCACTGCTCTCACCCAGTCTCTGCCTTGAGAAATATCAGCCAGATTTGGGTGTCTTGCTGTGATGCTGAGAGATGCTGGCTCCTGATCTATCCAATTTTCTCTTCTCCTCGTTGCTTTTTCAGCGCAACACCTTTCAGGCAGTCTTAGCCTACACCGATTCGGATGCCTATGCCGTCTTCCTTTACCCTGACGACGGGCTCCAGTTCTTTGGGACGCGGCCAAAAGAATCATACAACGTCAACCTAGAACTCCCGGCCCGAGTAGGTTTCAGCAGAGGGGATTTCCAGAGGCGAGAAGGCCCTTACTACAGCGCAACCAGCAGTGAGCAATCTGTCAAAAACCTCTATCAGTAAGTAAATGGTGTGCCGCATGGACAGGATCCTCACCGTTTCTTGAACGACAGCCCGTACTTTGTTTTATGCATCTTGTGGTTGCAAACTTGTTGCGTATGTTGACATGGAGGCAGTGGAATGGATAGAAAATCTGAGTTCCGCTCAGAAATGTGTTGGCCAAGATGAGAATGAACCCCGTGAGACTAAGTTCTGAGATCTCGGTGGCCATTGGGGGGGTTGCTAGGCAACCACAGCAAAATTGCTGAGCCTTCCAAACCTTGGGTGGGGGAGCAAGGGTGGGCTGGGAGGAGAAGGAGAGAAGAAAAGATTGGATTTGTACCCCGCCCCTCACTCGGAGTTTCAGAGTGGCTTACAGTCTCCTTTCTCTTCCCCTCCCCACAACAGACACCCTGTGAGGTAGGTGGGGTCGAGAGAGCTCTTTCAGTGACTGCTCTTGAGACAACAGCTCCGAGAGAACTTTTGACTGACCCAAAGTCACACCAGCAGCTGCATCTGGATGAGTGGGGAGTCAAACCCGGTTCTCCCAGATTAGAGTCCACGTTCCTAACCACTACATCAAACTGGATCTCCAAAGTAGCCCAAAATATCCATGGAAAGAGTCCTTTTGTGTCCCATCCCATGATGGAGGGCGGATTTGCTGGGTCCGGGGTCGGTTGTGATTGCTCAGTTACTCACTGCACAACTTGGCCAAACCCAGTGGGAGCCACCGGACAACTTGCTACTGTGTGATTGTCCATTGTGCAGCTCGCCACTACACATCTTGCGCAACTCAGCTGGCCCTGGTGGCGGACGCTGTACAACTTGTACAAATCATCCAAGCGATTCCCTCCAGTATGACTTCCACGACTTTGAAGGACTTTCTCTGGGAAGAGGCTGCAAGGCTGAGAGAAGGAGGGAAAGCCGAAGTCTGAATGGGCAGATAAAGGGAAGTTAGTTTATGGGTGGGAAGGAAGGAAGGAAGGAAGCAGGGAAAGGGGAGAGGCTTTGGGGGCTGCTGGGGAGGGGAAATACAATGGAAAAGGAGGTGCCCCTTGCACGTCCTTGCGGGTCCCCCGTTTATAAATCTGTAACACTGAACTAGGCACATTGCTCGAGCATCGAGCATTCAGTATTTGTTAAATATGTCCCATGAACACATAAAGCGGCCTTATACTGAATCAGACCGTCGACCCATCAGGTTTCAGATTGTCCCCTCAGACTGTCAACTCTTTCCACCCCATGGGTAATTTTATAAACCTCTTAGCGTGTCCGTGTCCCCCCCCCCTTTAGTAGTCTCTTTTCTAAACTGAAAAGTTCCTCTCGACTGGACTACTGCAATTCGCTTTGCCTGGGGCTTCCCTTGAAAACAGCTTGGAAATTCCAAGTGGTTCAGAAAGTGGCTGCCAGGTTGTCATGGTCAGCTCATATTACTGCAGTTTTGCGGCAGCGGCACTGGCTGCCAGTTAGGTTCGGGATCCGATTCGAGGTGTTAGTGTTAACCGTTAAAGTCCTTTATGGTCTAGGACCCTCATACCTTCTGGACCGCCTCTCCCTTTACGACTCCCCACATCCCCTTTGGTCATCCTCTGGAGCCCTTTTGCAGGTTCCTGGCCCCATGATGGTTTGGTTAACCTTCTCAGTGATGGCCCCTGCCCTGTGGAATGCGCTCTCGGGTGACGCCTGCGTCCTGCAGGACTTGCTAAATTTCTGCCGGGCTTGTAAGGCCAAATGGTTCAGGTTGGCCTTTGGAGGTTAACCAGATCATAGAATCATGGAATGTAAGAGTTGGAAGGGACGTTGCAGGCCATCTAGTCGAACCCCCCCGCACTCTGCAGGAGCACAGCCAAAAGATGGTCGTCCAGCCTCCCCTGGAAAACGTCCAGCGAAGGAGCCTCCACCACCTCCCGAGGCAGACTGTTCCACTGCTCAACCGCTCTGACAGTTAGGAAGTTTCTCCTGATATTTAGCCGGTATCGACTCAGTTGTGATTTCCACCCGTTAGATCTAGTCTTGCACTCCGGCGCGAGAGAGAATAGAATCATAGAATGTGAGAGTTGGAAGGGACCTTGCAGGTCATTTAGTCCAGCCCCCTGCACTCTGCAGGAGCACAGCCGAAAGAGAGCCCTACATACCTACAACATACCTGAAAGATGGTCATCCAGCCTCCGCTTGAAAACGTCCAGCGAAGGAGCCTCCATCACCTCCCGAGGCAGAGTGTCCCACTGCTCAACCACTCTGACAGTTAGGAAGTTTCTCCTGATAGTCTAGTGGGGCAAAACTCTAGTTTTGGGGTGGTTTGATAATGGCACGGTGCGGAATCATATCCCTAAATTATTTGTAGGTTCATATTTTAATCACTTACGGGTATCATCCGATTTGGTTGGTTTTTAACTTGCCTGTCGTGATGTTGTGTAAGTGTTGTAAGTCGCCGCGAGACCTTTTGGGTGAATGGCGATTAAAAAAAAAAGACCTAATAAACAAACAAAGGCCATCTCTTGATAAAATCTGTTGAATCAAAACTATTAATGCCACCCCCCCTTTTCATCTTGACGCAAAGCCAAGAGCGATGGCCTCATCGGAGTGTGGCGTGAAGGCTGCCCCAGATGTGGAATCAAGCTCTGTTTGCATAAGACTGCTGCCGGATTAGATAAGGGTTGCGCACAATGAGAAATGTGGCCTTTAAAAAAAACACAACATGCACATATTCTGGTTCAGAGAGAGGCCAGCCCTGGAAACCCCACAAAAACATCTTCCTTGGACGGGGGCGTGTGGGGCGTGTGGGATGCTGTTGTTGAAAACCCGGACAACTGTCACAGCTGATTTCCTACGCTTGACCCAGTCCTGTTGTTCCAGTTTGGTGTAGTGGTTAAGTGCGCGGGCTCTGATCTGGGAGAACCGGGTTTGATTCCCTCCTCCTCCACTTGCAGCTGCTGGATGACCTTGGGCAAGCCATAGTTCTGATAAGAGCTGTTCTTGAAAAAGAGCCGTTTGTGTCAGAGTTCTCTCAGCCCCACCTACCTCACAGGGTATCTGTTGTGGGGAGGGGAAGGGAAAAGGAGTTTGTAAGCCACTCTGAGACTCCAAGTGAAGGGCGGGGTATAAATCCAACCTCCTCCTCCTCCTCCTCCTCCTCCTCCAGTGTTGGTGTAGGCTTGGTGGATAGGATGGCCATAGAGTAGGGGTCTACAACGTGGTGCCCATGGGCACCGAGGTGCCTGCCAATGCATTTCTTGGTGCCCACCAAGTGTTTTAAGAAAGTGGGTGGGGCTCTTGCCCACCTGGGCTTCTGATTGGCCGCTGAAGCCCCTGTGGGCTTTGCCATTTAAAACAATGTTGCTTTAGGTCCTTTCCGCGCTGGGGTCTCATCCCTGGTTTGATCAGAGTTCAGCTCGCGACACGACGCCTTGCATTTATCCCCGGTTATAACGGCATCCGTTTATCCTGGGACGAGTGTGGTGCGAAGCTGGGGTGTAACGTGAAATGTAACGTGAAAACAACAACAACAAAAATACCCCGAGATAATTACAGGGGTGGACTCGCGTGTAGTGTAGAATGTAAGTTCAGGGACAGGGTTGAACCGGGATTGAAGGTCCAGTACGGAATCGCCCTTAGAGGCAACTGCTGTTACAGGGTTTGTTTTAGCCTCTCACTCCTCGTGGGCACTCCATGAAACTGCAGAGCGGTCGGGTTAGAACGGATAAAAGGAAGTCCTTCTTCACCCAAAGAGTGATGAACACTTGGAATTCACTGCCACAGGAAGTGGTGGCGGCTACAAGCATGGACGGCTTCAAAAGGGAATTAGATAAGCATATGGAGCAGAGGTCCATCAGTGGCTATTAGCCACAAGGTATAGATAGGGACTCTGGGGCAAGTGATGCTCTGTCTTCTTGGTGCTTGGGGGGGGTCAACAGTGGGAGGGCCTCTAGTGTCCTGGCCCCACTGGTGGACCTCCTGATGGCACTGGTATTTCTGGCCACTGTGTGACACAGAGTGTTGGACTGGATGGGCCTTTTGCCTTATCCAACATTGGCGTCTCTTATGTTCTTATGTTCCTTTTTCTAGGGATGCCAACCTCCAGGTGGGGACTGGGGATCCCCTGTAATTACAGCCCATCTCCAGACTACAGAGATCAGTCCCCCTGGAGAAAATGGATGCTTTGGAGGGTGGAGTCCCTGTCACTGTACCCCACTGAGGTCCCTGTCCTCCCCAGGCTCCACCCCCCAAATCTCCAGGAGTTTCCCAACCTGGATCTGGCAACCCTTTGTTTATATTTTAAATGAATTTTATTCTTCCTGATGTTTAAGAGAAGAAGAAGAGATTGGATTTATAGCCCGCCCTTCACTCGGAGTCTCAGAGTGGCTTCCAGTCTCCTTTCCCTCCCCCTCCCCACAACAGACACCCTGTGAGGTAAAAGAAGAAGAAGAGATTGGATTTATACCCCGCCCTTCACTACCCAAGGGAGTCTCAGAGCGGCTGACAAACTCCTCTCCCTTCCCCTCCCCACAACAGACACCCTGTGAGGCGGGTGGGGCTGAGAGAGCTCTGACAGAAACTGCTCTTTTTCAAGGACAGCTGTGCCAGAGCTTGTGACTGACCCCTGGTCCCATCAGCAGGTGCAAGTGGAGGAGTGGGGAATCAAACCCGGTTCTCCCAGATTAGAGTCCGCACACTTAACCACGACACCAAACTGGCTCTCTCTACACCAAACTAGCCGGAAACTCTCCTGATTTAATTTCAACCCGTTGGTTCTGGTCCGGCCTTCTGGGCCAACAGGACCCGATTCCGCACCACCCTCTGTAGGACAGCCCTTCAAGGACTTGAAGATGGTGATCAAATCACTGCCGCCATTTTCTCCAGGGAAACTGACCTCTGTAGTCTGGAGCTCAGTTGTATACTGGGAGATTTCCAGGCCCCACCTGGAGGTTGGCAGTCCTGTTGACCCAGTATGTGACCCTTTTGCCTGCATTAAGAGGCACCAGCCCCTGGAAATGTTCCTCGTCCCCGTTGCTGAGACGGAGGTTTCTGGCGGAGGGCTTGTGCAGAAATCCTTTGGCTGGCATGAGGGAATGTTGAACCGGGCAGGGGATTTGGAAATCTCACTGAAACCCGACCGACCCGCGGAACTGAGCTTGCAAAAGGACAGCTGCTGCGTCCGTTTCCCAACCGTTATCGAATGCCAGATGTTCTCCTGCTTGTCGCTGGCTAAAATGCAAGAGGGGGACTGTGAGAAAGTTGAAGAGAAGCGCAATGGCTGCGCTGTCTCAAGATCTGATGATCATTTCTAGGTAAGAACCGGCCCTAAGTCAGCCAGTGAGCTTTACCGCAGAGTAATTAACAGAGAGTAATTCAGACGCGGGATTCCCTGCCGCAGGAAGTGGTGGCGGCTACAGGCATAGGCAGCTTCCAGCGGAGATTGGGTGAACATATACGGAGCAGAGGTCCATCAGTGGCTACTAGTCACAAGATATAGATGGGAACTCTCAGTCTGGGGCAATTGATGCTCTGTTAATTCTTAAGAACATAAGAGAAGCCCGTGTCGGATCAGGCCAGTGGCCCATCCAGTCCAACACTCTGTGTCACACAGTGGCCGAAAACACCAGGTGCCATCAGGAGGTCCAGCAATGGGGCCAGGACTCCAGAGGCCCTCCCACTGTTGCCCCCCCCCCAAGCACCAAGAATACAGAGCATCCCTTGCCCCAGACTGAGAGTTCCTGTCTGAACCTTGTGGCTAAGAGCCCCTGATGGACTTCTGCTCCAGATGTTTATCCAATTCATAAGAACATAAGAGACGCCAATGTTGGATCAGGCCAGTGGCCCATCCAGTCCAACACTCTGTGTCACACAGTGGCCAAAACCCAGGTGCCATCAGGAGGTCCAGCAGTGGGGCCAAGACACTAGAAGCCCTCCCACTGTTGCCTCCCCCAAGCACCAAGAATACAGAGCATCCCTTGCCCCAGACTGAGAGTTCCTATCTATACCTTGTGGCTAATAGCCACTGATGGACCTCTGCTCCATATGCTTATCGAATTCCCTTTTGAAGCCGTCCATGCTTGTAGCCGCCATCACTTCCTGTGGCAGTGAATTCCAAATGTTAATCACTCTTTGGGTGAAGAAGTACTTCCTTTTATCCGTTCTAACCCGACCGCTCAGCAGTTTCTTTGATTGGTGATTGGGTGATTCATTCTTGGTGCTTGGGGGGGGGCAACAGTGGGAGGGGTTCTGGAGTTCTGGCCCCGCTGGTGGACCTCCTGATGGCCCCTGGTGTTTCTGGTCACTGTGTGACACAGAGTGTTGGACTGGAGGGGCCACTGGCCTGATCCAACATTGGCTTCTCTTCTGTTCCTTAGCGGGGATTTGAACTTGAGTCTCTCACTGCCTAGTTCAACGCTCCTGCCACAACATGACTTCAGTCAACATGACACAACACTGGTGAACCTGATGGCACCTGGTATTTCTGGCCACTGTGTGACACAGAGTGTTGGACTGGATGGGCCTTTGGCCTGATCCAACATTGGCTTCTCTTACGTTCTTATGTCTGGGGCAAATGATGCTCTGTCATCTTGGTGCTTGGGGGGGGGGGCAACAGTGGGAGGGCTCCTAGTGTCCTGGCCCCACTGCTGGACCTCCTGATAGCACTGGTATTTCTGGCCACTGTGTGATACAGAGTGTTGGACTGGATGGGCCTTTGGCCTGATCCAACATTGGATGTTCTTATGTTCTTATGTTATGTTCTTATGACTTAGGCTTATGCGATTTGGTAACATGCGACAGTCATGAACGAGGCTATATTGTTGGCAACAACGGCTTCCCGCCTCATTGCAAGCATGCATTAAAATGTGTTCATGTTTCATCTGAACTTGGTACGCTGTACCAATTTTATGTGAGCCGCCCTGAGCCTGTTCGCGGGGAGGGCGGGATACAAATGCAATCAATCAATCAATCAAATCAATAATGCTTAATTCTTTGCATGCTATCATTTATTATGATTTTTAAATCAGTAGCTGCTCTGACCTTGGTGGCCTCATCTCATCAGATCTCGGAAGACGAGCGGGGTCAGCCTTGGTTAGTACTTGGATGGGAGACCGCCAAGGAAGCCCAGGCGTGCTATGCAGAGGCAGGCGGTGGCGAACCACCTCTGTTTGTATGACCTGACCTGGGTGGCCCAGGCTAGGCCAATCTCGTCAGATCTCGGAAGCTAAGCAGGGTCGGCCTTGGTTAGTACTCGGATGGGGAGACCGCCAAGGAAGTCCAGGGTTGCTACGCAGAGGCAGGCGGTGGCCAACCACCTCTTGCCTTGAAAACCATACAGGTTCACCATAAATCGGCCACGACTTGATGATGCCCAATGATTATGCCTTGGCTCGGATAGCCCAGGCTGGCCTGATCTCGTCAAATCATGGAAGCGAAGTAGTGTCAGCCCTGGGTCAGTTCACATATTTCTTAACCGCAGCCAGAATATTGATAGCAAGGCGATGGAAATCCAAAAAATATACCTTCGATAAGAGAACTTCAAAATAAGATACTTGAGATAGCTGAAATGGACAAGCAGACCTTAGTAATACAAAATAAGCCAGAAGAAGAATTTTGGACGAGACAGGATATAATATATGACTGGCTGAAAATGGAGAAGCTATAGTAAGAATGGAAAATGCTAGTTAAAAATAGTAATTGTTAAACTAAAAAGATGAATCTTGTTTTTGGAAAAGTATGTATTCTGAAAGGATTTGTTGGAGTTATTTTAATGTTTGTGCAAATTGACCTTAATATTACAAAATAAGTTAGAGAGAGAATTGTGAACGAGACGGGATATAATATACGACTGGCTGAAAATGAAGAAGTTCTAGTAAGAATGGAAAATGCTAGTTAAAAATGTTAATTGTTAAAATAGGAAGATGAATTTTGGTTTGGGAAAAGTATGCGTTTTAAAAGGAATGTTTGATTTATTTATTTATTTTTAAAATTATTTTATTTTGGTTTTTCCATAACATAAAATAACAGTATATTCATTACATCATATTTTGGAGCTTCTTATCCATACATTTCCAACCATCTATCTACTTTCTGCCATCTTTTGTTAAACACATTTTCATACTTTCCCGAGAGTATCATGTTTACTTTGTCCATTTCTTTTATTTCCATTATTTTTGTAATTAATTCTTCTCTGCTTGGTATTTTATCAGACATCCAACATTTTGCTATGTATTCTAGCATTTGTAACATAAGCTAGAATGAGTGAAAGGAATGTTTGATTTATTTTAATGTTTGTGAAACTGAAAATAAAATGTTAAACAAACAGACAAACACCATACAGGTTCACCATAAATCAGATCTCAGAAGCTAAGCAGGGTCGGCCCTGGTTAGTAGTATTTGGATAGGAGACCTCCAAGGAAGTCAAGGATTTCTATGCAGAGGGAGGCCATGGCAGACCACCTCTGTTCATCTTTTGCGTTGAAAGCCCTCTGTGGGTCGCCATCACGGCTGTGACTTTGTGGCACTTTACACACACACACACACACACACGGTTGCCACTCTGTTTTGACAGTTCCCTCTTTTGAATTTAGGACGAGCAACTCAGGAATCCCTGGCGTGTGGGTCTTCCATATCGGCAGCAGCTCCCAGTTGAAGAACATTGTTCCAGCAACTGTGGGCCAGAGACCATCGGCGTCTTTCGAAGGGCGTCTGTCGAGAACCCCGGAGAGCGCCGCCGTCGATCAAAACGTCCTGGAGGTGGAGTATCCTGACTCAAACCTCGATTACGCCGAGTCCTTCTACAACGGAAACGAAGATGACTTTGAGTACTCGCCCGTGGAGCCCACCGAGCCGGCGCCGGAAACGAGATCCGGCGATCCGTCAAACCTCGACGACCGACTCGATTTTCACGAGCCGAGGCATTCGGGGGCCATTCTGGATTCGGACCTGGAGGCTGCGTTGCTGGACCCGTCGCCCAGCCGCCCGCCTCTGTACTCGGAACTGGATTCCGATCTGGTGTTCCCCGAATTGCCGTTCCTTGAATTGCCATCCCCGGCATCTTCTGTATCAGAAGGAAATGATAGAACCCCGTCGTTACCGTTGGTGTACGAGAGTCCGATTGAGGCTGTGACTGCTGTTCTGTTGTATCATCCGGACCTTCAGGAGACGCCGTCCCCGCCGGAAGAAGACGGTGGCGTCCCTTCAGAAACGGAAGCCCTCCCTGTCTACCCGGATGGTGAGGTTATCCTCGAAAGCTTCCCGGACAACGCCCCACCTTTTAACCACCGGAGACGGGTTGTAGGTGTAGATGAAGACATCGGTTTTAACCCCGACGGTAGGCTCTTAAGAGGTTCTCCTTCGGGGACATAACAACGCACCCCTTTCTTGTTTCCTACCCCCTTCCCCCCGTCGTTGTGAGTGTTTTCTACTTTGGCTTTCTCGTGAACTGGTGTTCCCAAATCTGTTTGCGTCCTGTTGGTTATTTGTGTCTGTTTCTACACAATGCATGCATGCAAAAAAACCAATATGGAAAGTTGCGTATGTCGAGTAGGAGGAAACGTTTGGCACAAGGGAATGGAAAATGCCCTGAAAGTAAAGACGTGGTTTGGTTTTGCATGTGAGAAAAGCAAAAAAAAAACCCCCCCAACAAAATGAGTTTCCAAGACAAAACTGCAAGGCTGTGGAATTTGGTAGCGTATCTGTTCCTAGTAGGACCTCATTTTCTTTTCTTTTTCTTTTTTTTTTAAGTACCCATTAGGTACACTTTTATTATTTTTCATATTATACACAAACTAACATACAAACAACCTATAACAAACATCTACTTACACACCTAAAACAAGGTACCCTTGCTCGAAAGCCAGTCGAATCCGACTCTAGGGTTGCGGTGCTCATCTCCGTTTCAAAGCCGAAGAGCCAGCGCTGTCCGAAGACGTTTCCGTGGTCATGTGGCCGGCGTGACTAAACACCAAGGCGCACGGAACGCTGTTCCCACTGAAGTGGTCCCTATTTATCTACTTGCAATTTCTTGCTTCCGAACTGCTAGGTTGGCAGGAGCTGAAACGAGAGACGGGAGCTCACTCCGTCATGCGGCACACTTGGGTCTCGAACGACCAACTTTCCACAGCCTGCAGTTCAGCGTCTTAACCACTAATAAAGTTGATTAGTCTTAAAGGTGCTACTGGGAGCTCACTCCATCTTGCGGCACCCGGGTCTCGAACTACTGAACTACTGAACTACTGACCTTCCACAGCCTGCAGTTCAGCGTCTCAACCACTTGAGCCACCGCAGTACACTTTTATTATTTTTCATATTCTACACAAACAAACATACAAACAACCTGTAACAAACATCTACTTACACACCTAAAACATACAAAGAGATCAGTATGTTTTCTATAACTCTTTTACCATATTTAAAAAATTCTATGGGTTTGCTTAAGTTTCTGTATACTCTTGTCTTTTTACCATAGTTTCCATTTAACTAAAAGAGATTAATAATGCCAAAAATGTCCTTACTTTAAACTATGCACTTATATTGTACCAGTCATACGGTTTTTTTCCACGTCTTTTGAAATGTTGGGTCTGTTGTCCCTCTCATCAACGATGACAGTTTGTCATTTTCAGCCGTCTCCAACAGTTTATTCACATATTCTTGCTTCTTTGGTGCTTCCATTTGTTGCCAATATTTTGCATGTAATATTCTTGCTGCCGTAGATAGATGTACCATCAAATATCTATCACCTCATTTTCTGAACAGTTTGAGACTCTTAGGATGTTAAATTAAGTCTTTGTTCCCCAGACTTCTGTTAATTCAGATGCGTTTTGCCTCTGAATCAAAATTGGAAGCACCGTTCATGCAAACACATGAAGCTGCCCTCTACTGAATCAGGCCTCGGTCCATCGAGGTCAGTATGGTCTACTCAGACCGACAGCAGCTCCCCAGGGTCTCAGGCGGAGGTCTTTCACAACACCTCCTGCCTGGTCCGTTTAGATGGAGATGCTGGGGATTGAACTTGGGACCTTCTGTGCGCCAAGCCAATGCTCTGCCAGTGAGCCACAACCCCTCCCCAAACACACATGAAGCTGCATTAATCAGACTCTCATTCCATCAAAGGCAGTATTGTCTGGTCAGGCGGGCAGCAGCTCTCCAGGGTCTTAGGTAGAGGTCTTTCACGTCACCTACTGCCTGATTGTCTCGGGCTGGGGTGCCAGTCAAAGGGAGTCCAGAACAGGCCAAGGTCAGGAGCCAAGAAGGCAGTGCAAAATCCAAAAACCCAAGCCGGGGTCAGGAGCCAGGAACACAGAGTTAAGTCCAAAATCACTAACCAGAAGTGTAGTTCCAAAAGCCAAGGCGGGGTCAGGAGCCAGGAACATAGAGCCAAGTCCAAAGCCAGGGGGTCCAAAGGTCTAGGTGCAAGAGCCGAGCCGGAGTGGATGCAAGCAGCCCGAAGCTGACGCGTTGCTTCCACAAACCGTACTGCCCAGAGTGTGGAGTTAAATGCTGCTACCAATTAGCCAGCTGCACGATCGCCCAGGCTCCTTAGAACTCTGGGCTGGCTGAGCGTCTCCCCTGTAGCCTAGCCTCTCTTCGCCTGCTTGCTAAGTTTTGCCGCCGTTGCTCCCTTAAACAAGTCACATGTGGGGGTGAGTCAGGAGGGCTTTCAGCTTGCAGTTCTTCCTTCTTATCTGGGCCAGGTGTGAAGACGGCTGTTGCAGGCACTTGCCAGCTACCCTCCTCTGCTGCCAGCTGTGGTTTCTGCAGGCTCTGTAAGCTCACCCTCACCCATGTCAATGACACTGATCCTTTTAGATGGAGATGCCGGGGATTGAACTTGGGACCTTCTGCTTGCCAAGCAGATGCTCTGCCACTGAGCCACAACCCCTCCCCAAACACACATGAAGCTGCGTTATACTGAATCAGACTTTTGGTCCATCGAAGGTGGTATTGTCTACTTGGGCTGGCAATAGTTCTCCAGAGTCTCAGGCAGAGGTCTATGCAGGATCTTCCATTCCAAGACCCCTTCAGCTGCCAAATTTAGGTAGCGGGGCTTTGTTAGAAGGAGTTTCCCCAGGGGAGCGGCGCAGCACACGGAAGTCTGAGTTGGATGCTATATGCCCATGTTTAACCCACGAAGCCGCCTTATAGTGATTCAACCCCCCCTTTTTTAATAGATTTTTTATTCTTTTACTTAGTAATACAATAGAAAGCAGACAAATAAATTACACAAGCGATTCAAACCCTTGGTCCACCAAGGCCGGTATTGTCTACTCAGACTGGCAGCGGCTCTCCAGGGTCTCAGGCCGAGGTCTTTCACGTCACCTCCTGCCTGGTCCTTTTAACTGGAGATGCCGGGGACTGAACCTGGGACCTTCTGCATGCCAAGCAGAGGCTCTACCACTGAGCCACAGACCCTCTTTGCAGCTCTCCATGGTCTCAGGCTGAGGTCTTTCCCATCACCTCCTGCCTGGTTGTTTTTAACTGGAGATGCCGGGGATTGAACCTGGGACCTTCTGCATGCTGAGCAGAGGCTCTTCCACTGAGCCATTGAGGTCTTTCCCATCACCTCCTGCCTGGTCCTTTGAACTGGAGATGCCGGAGATTGAATCTGGGACCTCCTGCATGCCAGGCAGAGGCTCTTCCACTGAGTCACAGCCCCTCTTTACAGCTCTCCAGGGTCTCAGGCAGAGGTCTTTCCCGTCACCTACTGCCTGGTCCTTGCAACTGGAGATGTCGGAGATTGAATCTGGGACCTCCTGCATGCCAAGCAGAGGCTCTTCCACTGAGCCACAGCCCCTCTTTACAGCTCTCCAGGGTCTTTGGCGGAGGTCTTTCCCATCACCTCCTGCCCGGTCCTTTTAACTGGAGATGCCAGGGCTTGAACCTGGGACCTTCTGTATGCCAAGCAGAGGCTCTTCCACTGAGCCACACACCCCCATTCCCTTTTTATGCCCAGAAAGTTTTCGATTAGCTGTCTGAAAGGGACGGATTTATGCATGAGTCTCTGTTCTGAACATGCCTCCCTGACTGTGAGGAGCAGTCTCGCCCAGAGATGCGATGGTCATTCTCCTTGGAGGGCGAGTCCCTGGTCCAAACTGCATGTTTGTGTTTGCAAAGAGTTGGATCCAAGTTCCCTGCAGCCATGCAGCTTCTGCAGGAGAGCCCTGACAGTATTGGAATTGCACTACGGGGTGGGGGGGAAGGAAGGATAGTTCCTGTCCAGTGTTCCCTCTAAGCTGAGTTGGTGTGAGCTAGCTCACAGTTCTTTAGCCTCCGGCTCACACATTTTTGTCTTAGCTCAGGGTGGATGGCTCCAGAGCAAACTAATTGATGCAGTAGCCAAATGGCTCGCTCACAACTTTAATGCCAGTAGCTCACAAAGTAGAACTTTTGCTCACAAGACTCGACAGCTTAGAGGGAACATTGCTCCTGTCTGCCCTTAAGGGTATTTTCCTGCCTGGAAATAGCAGTGGAGGGGGAGCTATAGCCTCATTTTCCCATGCTCCACATGGCATAGCCTGTGGACCTAACTCTTTAAAATCACAAACGTGTAGCTGGCTCTCTAGGTCAGGAGGATGTGGGTGATCTAATTCCATTGGATGCAGAGATTTGGGTAAAAAGGCTCTTCTTCAGAAGAGGCTGATGGGAAGTAGGTAACACGAAAGCAGTGGATCATACAGAGATGCAGCGGGCAGCCTCCTCTCCGGACGGGCTTATTGTCTTAAGCCTTGCATTCTGCCTTAGTGTTCCTTCCTCAGGAAAAATGGTGTCACCAAACAGCTTCTGAGATATTGCCCGTACACTTCCACACGTCTTTGTTTTAACCATAAATGAACATAAGAACGTTAAGAGAAGCCGTGGTGGATTAAGCCGGTCGCCCATCCAGTCCAACAGTCTGTGTCACACAGGGGCCAAGGTCAACAGTGGGAGGGCTTCTAGTGTCCTGGCCCCACTGCTGGACCTCCTGATGGCACCTGGTATTTTTGGCCACTGTGTGACAGAGTGTTGGCCTGGATGGGCCTTTGGCCTGATCCAACATTGGCGTCTCTTGTGTTCTTATGTTCACTAGCGGCACCAGAAGCCCTCCCTCCCACAGTTGCCCCCCAAGCACCAAGAAGACAGAGCATCACTGCCCCAGACTTAAGAACATAAGCGAAGCCATGTTGGATCAGGCCAATGACCTGTCCAATCCAACACTCTGTGTCACACAGTGGCCAAAACCCAGGTGCCCTCTGGAGGTCCACCAGTGGGGCCAGAACTCCAGAAGCCCTCCCACTATGGGCCCCCCAAAGCACCAAGAAGACAGAGGATCACTGCCCCAGACTTAAGAACACGAGAGAAGCCATGTTGGATCAGGCCAATGACCTGTCGAATCCAACACTCTGTGTCACACAGTGGCCAAAACCCAGGTGCCCTCTGGAGGTCCACCAGCGGGGCCAGAACTCCAGAAGCCCCCCCACTGTGGGCCCCCCACGCACCAAGGAGACAGAGCATCACTGCCCCAGATAATGGTCCTTCTATACCTTGTGGCTAATAGCCACCGATGGACCTCTGCTCCATCTGTCGATCGAGTCCCCTCTTGAAGCTGTCTGTTCTTCTACAGAATCACACAGCATTGCTTCAGCGACTTAAACATATCCCACTTCGAGGCTTCCTGGCCAGCATTGGATTGTGGGTGCTGGATTTTTGTCTGTTCCAACAGGGCTGTTCTTACATTCGTAAAGATTTCATAACACTTCTACAGAACGGGATGGCAATTTATGCTGATTGATTTATTTATCTGCTTCATTCGGGAGGGGCTGTGGCTCAGTGGAAGAGTCTCTGCTTTGCATGCGGAAGGTCCCAGGTTCAATCCCCGGCATCTCCATCTAAAAGGACCAGGCAGGAGGTGATGGGAAAGACCTCTGCCTGAGGCCCCGGAGAGCCACGGCCAGTCTGAGTAGACGATACCAACCTTGATGGACCAAGGGCCCGGTTCAGTAGAAGGCAGCTTCATTTGTCTTCAGGTGTGTATTGATATCCCGCCTTTCTCCTTAGTCAAACCAGCTTATGTCGTTCTTTTCTCCTCCTCTCCATTTTATCCCCTCCCCCCTCCCCATCCTATCCTCACAACGACCTTGTGAGGTAGATTAGGCTGAGTGGGTGTGACGGGCCCAAGCTCACCAAGCAACCCTCCATGGCGGAGTGGGGATTCGAATCTGGGTTTCCCGGATCCAAGTTTGATACTCTAACCCCGGGGTCCTCAACGTGCTGCCCGTGGGCACCATGCTGCCTACCAGCACCTTTTTGGGCGCCTGCCAAGTCTTTTTAGAAAGTGGGCGGGGCCAGGTGGCGCTTTTGCCCAGCAAGACTTCTGATTGGCCACTGGAGATTTGATTGGCTGGGTGGATTTTTTTTTTTACAGTTGCTGCCGCAGCAGCTGCCACCACAGCAGAAGGAGCTTCACCGGCGACGGAAGGTAAACGGCGGCGGCCATTTTGTCTTTGGCCCCGCCTTCTGTGACCGCCATTTTGTAGTCTGGGTCTAACCCATTCAGGACAGAAAAGCTATTTTTGCGCTCCTTTAGATGTCCCCCTGGAGAAGCATGTGGCGTTAAACTCCGGCTGGGCTGTTTCCCCACCGGTGAGCCTCCCGTGAAGTCTTTAGAGGAATTGTACGCGGAGACAGCTGCAACCCCTGTAGACCTCAGTTAGAGGAGGGGTTTGTGGAAGTTTCTGAATGTGTTTACATGTGCGTGTGCGTAAAAGAGAGGCCCTTGTTAGGCAGGGTCCTGAATGAGGGAGTGAGAGAGAGTTATTGGTTGGAATCGGGTGGCTTGCCAACCTCTGGGGAGATCCGGGCAGCTGGTGGCAGCAGCCGTGTCCAGTGGGAAACGGGCCATTCCCGCTTGCGGCTGTCGGATGTGTCGATTCCCAGGCCTTGCTGTGAAGGGGATTAAGGCACCCTTAGAGCGGGGAGGAAAAGAGCCTGAGTCCGGAAGGGGATATCTTGCGGCCGATGCTCCCTCTAAGCCGTGGAGTCTTGTGAGCAAAAATTCTACTTTGTGAGCTCCTGGCATTAAAGTTGTGAGCGAGGGATTTGGCGACTGCTGAAATTAGTTTGCTCTGGAGGGAAAGAGGTCCTTTTCTCCCTTTCTCACAATACTCGTGGGCAGGCACTCCATGAAATTGCTAAGCGGTCGGGTTAGAACGGATAAAAGGAAGTCCTTCTTCACCTAAAGAGTGATTAACACGTGGAATTCACTGCCACAGGAGGTGGCGGCGGCTACAAGCATGGACGGCTTCAAGAGGGGATTGGATAAGCATATGGAGCAGAGGTCCATCCGTGGCTATGAGCCACAAGGTATAGATAGGAACTCTCAGGCTGGGGCAAGGGGTGCTCTGTCTTCTTGGCGCTGGAAGGGGGCAACAGTGGGAGGGCTTCTAGTGTCCTGGCCCCACTGCTGGACCTCCTGTTGGCACCTGGTATTTTGGCCCCTGTGTGACAGAGTGTTGGACTGGATGGGCCATTGGCTTGATCCAACATGGGCTTCTCTTATGTTCTTATGTTAAACTGAGTGAGTGTGAGCTAGCTCACAGTTCTTTAGCCCCCCGGCTCACACATTTATTTGTGTTTGTTCAGGAAGGGATGGCTCCAGAGCAGACTAATTTATGCCGTAGCCAAATTGCTCTCTCACAACTTTAATGCCAGTAGCTCACAAAGTAGAATTTTTGCTCACAGGACTCCACAGCTTAGAGGGAGCACTGCTCTGGAGCTATCCTTCCTGAGCGAAGGCAAAAATGTGCGAGCCCGAGGCTAAGAAGCTGTGAGCTAAGTCGCACCAATGCAGCTTAGAGGGAACACTGCTTGCAGCTGGGAGATGCTGCCGGTTGATGGCTTGCGTGCGAAAGTGTCTGCATTGAGGAAAGCTGCTTGAACTGGAGTCTGTTTAGGGAGGGATCGTGTGGCTCAGTGGCAGAGCCTCTGCCTGGCATGCGGAAGGTCCCAAGTTCAATTCCCAGCATCTCCAGTTAAAAAGGACCAGGCAGCAGGTGACGTGAAAGACTTTCGCTTCAGGTCCCGGAGAGCTGCTGCCAGTCTGAGTCGGACAACACTGACTTGGATGCACCTGATTCAGGGTTTGATTCAGTACAAGCAGGGGTCATTTCCTCCGGGAGCTCCGGCTGTAAGGAGCCCAGGGAGCAGGCATATGCAACGAGCCCCGCCCCCTGCTCCCAGCAGCCCTCAGTCGGGCCACGAGGAGCAAGAAGCAGCCAGGTAAGTTGCAGAGCCCCCCCCTGGCCCGCCTTCAGGTACAAGCTCTCCCTCCTCTGTGAGGACAGATCTGCGCATCCCCCCCCATACCTAGGAATCCAAAACAGTCCAGTGGCACCTTTAAGACCAAGTTTTATTCAGGTACAAGCTCTCCTTTGTGAGGGTAGATCTGCGCATTCCCCCTCCCCATAGTTAGCAATCCAAAATAGTCCAGTGGCACCTTTAAGACCAGGTTTTATTTGGGTACAAGCTCTCCCTCCTCTGCGAGGAGAGATCTGCACGTTCCCCCCCCCCAATAGCTAGCAATCCAAGAGAGTCCAGTGGAGCCTGAGCGGTGGGTGCTGCCTTCTGACACACTTCCGGTGACGTCAGGGGGTGTGGCATATGCAAATGTTATGCTAATGAGTTATGCTAATGAGCTCCTGCACCTCTTTTTCTATGAAATGACCCCTGGGACCAGGGCACTAGGAGCCCTCCCACTGTTGCCCCCCCCCCCAGAAAAAGAGTATCTCTTGCCCCAGTCGGGCCAGTCACGCGCTCCCAGCGTAGCCCGCCTCGCAGGCTTGTTGTCAGGATAAAATGGCGGAGAGCCGAACCATGTAAACAGCTTTGGGTCCCTGCTGGGGAGAAAGGGGAGCCAAAAAAAAGGGGGGGGAGAAAGGGGAGGCAGAGGTGAAGGACGTAAAGGAAGTGGCTGCGTTCCGTTGGATAAGCCGAGTTGATGCTGTTTGGGCAGTCCCCGATTTAACGACTTGGGCTTTGCCGTTTAGTGTTCACGTACAGTGCGGCCAACGTGGAAACCTGCGAGCGTCACCACGGCCACTGCTCCCAGCATGCCTTCTGCACGGACTACAGCACCGGGTTCTGCTGTCACTGCCAGGCCAAGTTCTACGGGAACGGCAGACACTGCTTACCAGAAGGTACGTTGAGCTTTGGTTTCGTAGAATCGTAGAATCACACAGAGTTGGAAGGGGCCTTTATAGGCCATCTACTCCACCCCCCCGCTCAATGCAGGATAAGCCTAGAGTAGTGATGACGAACCTTTTAGAGACCGCGTGCCCAAACTGCGACCCAAAACCCACTTATTTATCGCAAAGTGCCAACACGGCAATTCAACCTGAATACTGAGGTTTTACTTTAGAAAAAACAACTCATACGTTAATTTCAGATGATCCAAACAAAGTAAGGGAAGCAACCCCAAATGCTTTAATTTACTTAAAATTATTTGGCAGAGAATTGGACACTTTAATGATGGTCTGGGCCTGGCTGAGGCGATGGCACGCGTGCCCACAGAGAGGGCTCTGAGTGCCACCTCTGGCACCCGTGCCATAGGTTCGCCACCACTGGCCTAGAGCATCCCTGACAAATGTTTGTCCAGTCGCTGCACTTCTGTGGGTTTAGCCTGCCGTGGGTAATTCTCTCACACACCCCTCAAAGCTTGCAGAAATATGCCAGGATGAATATCACACTTCTCCAGTTTGGTGTGGTGGGTAACTGCGCGGACTCTAATCGGGGAGCACCGGGTTTGATTACCCAATCCTCCATTTTCACCGCGGACTCTAATCTGGGAGAACCGGGTTTGATTCCCCACTCCTCCATTTGCACCTGCTGGTGTGACCTTGGGTCAGTCACAAGCTCTGGCACAGCTGTTCCTGAAAGAGCAGTTTGTGTCAGAGTTCTCTCAGCCCCACCCACCTCACAGGGTGTCTGTTGTGGGGAGGGGAAGGGAAAAGAGTTTGTAAGCCGCTCTGAGACTCCAGGTGAAGGGCGGGGTATAAATCCAATCTCTTTTTCTTCTTCTTTTCCATCCATCTAAAAAAAAATGCAACCAGCTTCAGTTTGCCTCAGGGCCATGCGGGGAAGGGAGAAGTGATTTAACCCTTCAACCTCCATTTTCTTTAGCTCATTGGAACTGGGCTGTCACCTTTGTTTTTAACATTTTAAGGATAAAAATATATTCTGAACAAGACAATAATAGTGCGGGGAGCCTGATTAGTAGAAGTGAGTAGAGAATGAAAAGGTTAAACACTTTCTCCCTTCCCCACACGGCCCCGAGGCAAACTGAGGCTTCATGAGCCTGCAGTTTGCATTTTATAAATAAGTGACAATTGGTTCTCAGAATTAATAAAGAATTGGAAAGGTAAAGGTAAAGGTTTCCCTTGCACAAAAGCCAGTCGAATCCGACTCTAGGGGTGCGGTGCTCATCTCCGTTTCCAAGCTGAAGAGCCAGCGCTGTCCGAAGACTTCTCCGTGGTGATGTGGCCGGCACGACTAGACGCCGAGGCACACGGAACGCTATTCCCTTCCTACCGGAGCGGTACCTATTTATCTACTTGCAGTTTCTTGCTTTCGAACTGCTAGGTTGGCAGGGGCTGGGGCCAGAGACGGGCGCTCACTCCGTCATGCGGCACTCGGGTCTCGAACTGCCGGTCTACAGTTCAGCATCTTAACCACTTGAGCCACCGCAGCCCCTAAAGAATTGGAAAACCAAGTGATCAATGACTAAAGAAATAAATATGAACGGAGCATTTTTTTCTCCCTCTAAGTCTTTAAATTAGTGGTATTACTAATGTACAAGAATTTCCCAATGTGGTTCTCATGCTAAAATATTAGTCCGCTCCTGAGTTAAAGGATAGCAGGGGGCAGTTACTGAGAAGCACCTTTCTCTGCTCAAGAACCTGGATGGTTGCTGCCAGTCGGATCAAAGCAGGTGGATCTGTGATCCATTGTAATATCTTTATGTAATACATTCAGCTAGGAGCTGCGGTGGCTCGAGTGGTTAAGACGCTGAACTGCAGGCTGTGGAAGGTCGGTAGTTCAGTTCGAGACCCGAGTGTGCCGCAAGACGGAGTGAGCTCCCATCTCTAGTTCCAGCTCCTGCCAACCTAGCAGTTTGAAAGCAAGAAATTGCAAGTAGATAAATAGGGACCACTTTGGTGGGAAGAGAACAGCGTTCCGTGCGCCTTGGTGTTTAGTCATGCCGGCCACATGACCACGGACAGCGCTGGCTCTTCGGCTTTGAAACAAAGATGAGCACCGCAACCCTAGAGTCGAACTCGACTGGCTTTCGAGCAAGGGAACCTTTACCTTTAATACATTCAACACATTCTTCTTACAATCACATAGTTGGACGAGACCTCCAGGGTCATCTAGTCCAACCCTCTGCACAATGCACACACCCCCACTGACCCCAGTGACCCCTGCTCTATGCCCAGAAGATGACAAACCCCCCACCAAACAAAGCCTCTTGGATCCATGGCCAAATGGGCCTGGAGGAAATTGCTTCCTGACCCCAAAGTGGTGATCGGCATTATCCCGGGCATATTAGAAAGTGCCATGAGAACTAAGCATTGAGGCAACCCTTCCTGCCCTCCCGTCTCATGATCAGCCTAAGTTCACAGAATCAGCATTGCTGTCAGATGGCCATCGATCCTCTGCTTGAAAAACTCCAAGGAAGGAGAGCCCGCCACCTCCCGAGGAAGCTGGTTCCACCGAGGAATCGCTCTGTCAGGAAGTTCTTCCTGAGGTTTAGCCGAAAACTCTTCTGATTTAATTTCAACCATTTCTTCTTATGTTCTTGTAGGAATAAACAGCTTTAAAAGGAGACGAGATAGACTCATGGAGGCTAAGTCTATCAATGACTACTAGCCCTGGTGACTGAGAGGAACCTCCACATTCAGAGGCACTAATCTTCTGACTCCCAGAGCCAGGAGGCAACATCAGGGGAAGGCCTTGGCCTCTCTGCCCTATTGTTGGCCCTACAGAGGAACTGGTTGGCCACTGTGTGAGACAGGAGGCTGGACTAGATGGACCACTGCTCTGATCTAGCAGGGTTCTTCTGATGTTCTTATGAAGGCCTCGGACTCCCTGCCCTGTTGTTGGCCCTCCAGAGGAACTGGTTGGCCACTGTGTGAGGCAGGATCCAGGACTAGAGGGACCACTGGTTTGATCCAGCAGGGTCCTTCTGATGTTCTTATGAAGGCCTCGGACTCCCTGCCCTGTTGTTGGCCCTCCAGAGGAACTGGTTGGCCACTCTGTGGGACAGGATGCTGGACGAGATGGACCACTGGTCTGATCAATAGGGTTCTTATGTTCTTCTCTATTTGTTTAAAAATGAAAGTGAGATCTTATGAGATCCTAATTGTGTGCAGTGTGCCAAATACTCCTCAAAGTTAAGAACATAAGAGAACATAAGAGAAGCCAGTGTTGGATCAGGCCAATGGCCCATCCAGTCCAACACTCTGTGTCACACAGTGGCCAAAATATACCAGGTACCATAAGGAGGCCCACCAGTGGGGCCAGGACATTAGAAGCCCTCCCACTGTTGCCCCCCCCCCAAGCACCAAGATGACAGGCTGGTGTCACAAAGAAAGAGGTCCGTGTGAAACATCCAGGAAGTTGAATTCCTAGACGGGCATTAGCGAAAGGAAGACAGTGGAACTTTTAAAGGTGCCGGACCGGAAGTGAGTTTTATGCGGAAGGAAGGGCCTGCAAAATACCAATCTGACCTACTCTACATGAAATTACCATAGAGAAGTTGCGCCCGACATTTTGAGGAGGACTTCAACTAAATTTGCTTTTTTAATATATTTCTAAGGGTCTTTGGAAAGCGTAAACAGAGAGGCATGGAGGACTAAATCTTATCATCTAGAAGAGTGCTTTATCTTGCGAATCTGTGAATTGAAAAGAAATCGCCAAGACGGAGACCAGGAGAGGCAAGAAAAGAGCCGACTCAGACCCAGAACTTAAACCAGTTGTGAGACCTAGGATTGGATCTACTTCAACCCCCAAAATGTCAAGGGAACGAGAGAAAAAAGAGATGCAAGCCTCCATGGAAGCAATGGAGAAGAGAATGACAGAGGCAATACAAGCCATGGGGGAGCAGATAGAAAAAACATTGGGGGACCAACTGGAGAAGCAAACTCAGATTCATCTGAAACATCTAGAAGAAGTCCAAGAGAAGAACATAACAGCATTGAAGGAACTGGTTACTACAGAAATAACTTCAATCAAGCAAGAAATGGAAGGAGTTAAGAAGGATGTTCAAGCAAATGCAACCAAGACTACAGAGACAGAGGAGAAGATACAAAAAATAGAAGAGAAACAAGATTCTTTGACTCAACAAATTACAAGATCAGAGACAATGATGGAGTTCAGAAGGATGCAGACTCATCTGAGATTCAGAGGCATTAAGGAAACAGAGAATGAGAACTTAAAAGAAAAAATGATGGAAGTGATAACGGCTTTTCTGGGCGAGGAGGAAGGGTCAATGGACTCAGACTTTGATTTGATTTATAGAGTGAACTCCAGAATTGCAGAAAAGAAGAATTTACCAAGGGATGTAATTGTACAATTTGTAACAAGATCAATAACAGAGGAGATATTCAAGAAGCAATTCAACGTCCCTTTTGTAATAGAGGGAAACAAAATTATGGTGATGAGAGAACTCCCAAGAACAATACTGCAAGACAGGAAAAGGTATAAATCCTTGGCGGACAAACTCAGAGCTTTGAGCATCAGATATAGATGGGAGATTCCACAAGGTTTATCCTTTACGTATCAAGGTGGGAGGATTCAGATCAGATCGATGATGGACTTTTATAAATTTAAGGCGGACAATGCGGACGTCTTTGGAGAACTTTAAAATAAAACGCATAATGGAGTACAAATTGTTGTCATGGAATGTTAATGGATTAAATTCACCAAACAAGAGGAAAAGAATCAATCATTGGATACAGAAACAGAAATGCAACGTGATATGCTTGCAAGAAACACATATTAGAAAACAGGATATAAAATATTTAAAGAATGCTTTATTTGGAATTGAATTTTGTTCTGCGGCCTCAAACAAGAAAAAAGGAGTTGTGACATATGTGAAGAAGGAGTTACAACCTACAGAAATTTTTAAGGACATAGATGGCAGATACGTGGGTGTGGAATTAATGATTCAGCAGAAAAAAACATTGTTGATCAACGTGTACGCACCCAATGGAGCAAAGGAAAAATTTTTTAAGGATATAACTGACCAATTACAACAATTGACTTATGAGCAAGTTATTATGGCCGGAGACTTTAATGGGACAATAGATCGTGTAGACAGAAAACCACAAAAGGACAACGAATTCAGCGGAAAACTGCCAAAGAATTTTTTTGAATTAGTTAAGCAAGAAAAATTAGAAGATGTTTGGAGGAAATGGAACCCGATGCAGAAAGACTTTACTTTTTATTCCAATAGACATTGCTCTTTTTCCAGAATTGATATGATTTGGATGTCTGAAGAATTATCAATGAAAACACATAAGACTGAAATTTTGCCAAGATGTAATTCAGATCACAATCCGGTGGTATGGAGTTCCACAGAAAGGAAAAAACCCTTTCTGTGGAGGATTAATGAAGACTTGTTGGATAAGAAAACAGTAATTGAGATGTTAAAGGAAGAAACGAAACAATTCTTTCAACAAAATTTAAATAAAGAAACACCGATACAGATTGTATGGGATGCTTATAAAGCGGTGATGAGAGGAATTCTCATCTCGCAAAACGTGAAGCAAAAAAAGGAAAAACTTCAAAAACAAACAGAAGTGTTAGAAAAAATTGCTCAGAAAGAAAAGGAATTAAAAAAGAAGCCTGGAAAAAAGCAAATTATTAAAGAATTAAAGTTGCTGAAGGAACAACTGAATGAGACTTGGAATCAGGAAATGTATTGGAATTTAAAGAAGTTACAACAGAAATCTTTTGAAGGGGCGAACAAACCGGGAAAATACTTAGCTTGGCAACTTAAGGCTAGAAGAGAGAGAAGAATGATAACCAAAATAATAGAAGATGGAAAAGAGTTCGTTGATCCTAATGGAATAAAGAGATGTTTCTTCAAGTATTATGCTAAACTATTCCAAACAACTAGAGTTGATCTTGAGAAGATTAAAACATATTTAAAGGAGATTCCACTACCAAAAATAAGTAAGGAATACAAAGATTTATTAAATGGTCCAATTCAAAAAGAAGAAGTGATGAAGGCAATAGAAGAGACAAAGTTGGGGAAGGCGCCTGGGCCGGACGGATTTACAGCGAAATTCTACAAAAAGATGAAAGAAGAAATTTCCCCGGTCCTGGAAGCTTTAACCAACGAAATAAGAGAAAACAAAAAGGTGCCGGACTCATGGAAAGAAGCAATTATTTCTTTGATTCCAAAGGAAGGACAAGATTCAACAAATGTAAAGAACTACAGGCCAATATCTCTTTTGAACAACGATTATAAAATCTTTGCAAAAATTATTGCAGAAAGGGTGAAAAACTATTTACAAACGGTAATTTCTGAAGATCAAGCGGGCTTTTTACCCAAAAGGCAGATTAGAGACAATGTAAGAATAGTAATGGACGCAATTGAATATTATGAAAAGCACCCAGAAAAAGAAGTAGCTTTTCTGTTTGTTGATGCAGAAAAAGCTTTTGACAATCTTAATTGGAATTTTATGCACCAGATGATGGAAAAGATTGAAGCGGGACAACATTTTAGAAATTGTATTGAAGCTATCTATTCTGAACAAAGAGCTAAAATAAATGTGAATAAAGAACTGACAGATAACTTCAAAGTACAGAAAGGAACAAGGCAAGGTTGTCCGTTATCACCGTTATTATTTATCTGGGTATTGGAAATACTTTTACAAAAAATACAGTACGATCAAGAAATAAAGGGCTTGACACATAAAGGACACCAATACAAATATCGAGCATTTGCAGACGATGTAATGTTTATGGTGGAAAACCCAACAGAAAAATTGACATTGCTTTTTCAAAAAATAAAGGAGTTTGGAGAATTGGCCGGCTTTTACGTAAATAAGAATAAAACAAAACTTATATGTAAAAACATGATCAAACAAAAACAAGTGGAACTACAAGAACTGGTACAATGTGAAGTAGTTAAAAAAACAAAATACCTTGGAATTGAATTAACGGCAAAAAATATAGACCTATATAAGAATAATTATGAGAAATTATGGACTAAGCTGACTCAAGATTTTAAGAAATGGGATAAAATGAACTTATCACTGATGGGAAGAATATCAGTTATAAAAATGAATGTCCTACCACGTTTGATGTTCCTGTTCCAAACAATACCAATTCTGCATAAAACGGATTTGTTGGCCAAGTGGCAACAAGAGTTGTCAAAATTTGTTTGGGCAGGCAAGAAACCAAGGATCAAAATGAAAATACTTTGTGATGCCAAAGAAAGAGGAGGTCTACAAATGCCAAATCTTAGACTATATTATGAAGCGGTTTGTCTAACATGGATGGATCAATGGGTGAAGCTTGAAAATGACAGATTGTTGGGGTTGGAAGGGCATGATTGTAGATTTGGCTGGCATGCATATTTATGGTATGACAAGATAAAAATGGACAGTTTTTTTAAACTTCACTTGGTGAGAAAAGCTTTGTATATGGTATGGACAAGATATAAGAAGTACCAGAGTGACTTAAGACCATTGTGGATTGTACCAGTAGAAGTGTTGATATCTTACTCAAGACAGCGAGGTAGAGACTGGTTGCCATATAGAGATTTAATTAAAAAAGAGGGAACAGAGTGGGTAATGAAAAAGCAGAATGAAATTGAATATGAATATGAGTGGTTGAAATATATGCAGATTTATGATCTTTTTAGATCTGACAAAAAAAACTATGGTTTTAGAGAGGAAAAAAATGAAATTGAAAAGGTATGGGAGAGTGGAGGAGGAAAAAATATTTCTAAAATGTATAAGGTGTTGTTAAAATGGTATACTGAAGATGAAACTGTTAAAGAACAAATGTTAAAATGGGCTATTAATATGAATAAGGAAGTAGATATGGAAACTTGGGAATATTTGTGGAAAAACTCTATTAAGATCTCGACATGTACTAATGTTAAAGAAAATTGTTATAAGATGATGTATAGGTGGTACATGACACCTAAGAAGATTGCAAATATGAATCAAAATATGTCAAACAAATGCTGGAAATGTAAGAGGCATGAGGGCTCATTTTATCATATGTGGTGGACTTGTGAGAAAGCTGTAGACTTTTGGACAAAAGTCCACAATGAAATGCAAAAAATACTGAAATGTTCTTTTAAAAAAGCACCGGAAATTCTGCTTTTGGGACTCAAAATGGAAGAAGTCAATACGACTAAAAAAACTTTACTCTGGTACCTGATAGTGACAGCGAGAATGATTTATGCTCAGTTTTGGAAGACAGAAAAGGTACCAGAGGTTGAAGAATGGATACAAAAAGTTCTGTTCATGGCACAAATGGATAAGATTACAAAAAAACTGAATAACAAAGAAGACGATGAGTTTTTTGGAGAATGGAATGATTTTAAAATTTATCTGGAAAAGAACTGGGATGTGAAACAAAACTTAATATGTTTAGATCAATATTAAGTCAAACGATGTTATCTTTAGATTGTAATGATGAAAAACTGATATTGTTGATGATATGAAGTAATTTGGAGCAGGGGTGGAAGCATTGTGGGAAGCCATTGGAGGGAGGGGAGGAACTGGGAATGGGGTAGACAATTGATAGAATGAAAAGTTTTATATGTTGTATTCCTGAAAAAAAAAAATTTGTTTACCAAAAAAAAAAAAAAAACAGCGAGGAAGAGGGTGTAAAAAAAAGGAGGCCCACCAGTGGGGCCAGGAGACTAGAAGCCCTCCCACTGTCACCCCCCCCCCAAGCACCAAGATGACAGAGCATCACTTGCCCCAGAGCCCCTATCTATACCTTGTGGCTAATAGCCACTGATGGACCTCTGCTCCATATGCTTATTCAGTTCCCTCTTGAAGCCGTCCATGCTTGTAGCCGCCACCACCTCCTGTGGCAACGAATTCCACGTGTTCATCACTTTGGTGATTTACTGAAGTTCTGCATTGTGTGAGCAGGATTTTCTCCCAATACCACAGGCGCTGCTCATCGTCTCAACGGTAAAGTGAGCGGGAATCTCCTGGCGGGACAGACACCGGTGCGGTTTAGCGACATCGATATGAATGCCTACATCGTTGGCAACGATGGGCGAGCCTATACCGCCATCAGCCACATTCCGCAGCTGGCCGCCCGGGCGCTGATGCCTTTGGCGGCCATCGGGGGCCTCTTTGGCTGGCTCTTTGCGCTGGAGAAACCTGGGTATGAAAACGGCTTCAGTATCGCTGGTGAGTAGAATGTAGATTGGGCGGGAACAGACAAGGCTGTGCGACTGCTGCGCTTTCGGTCTACGCACTGATACCGTTCTGCGCTTGGAAAAGTTCTGTTCTGCAACTGAAATGAAGTATTCAGTGGTTTTTCCCACATTCTCATTTTCCTAGCTTGTAAGTTCCTGCTTCTTCGGGTTTTGTTTTTCCAGTTCTGTATGTTTTTTGCTCCCTTTTTGCGCTTGATTCGATATTACACTGGTTTACGTCTGGCATATTTCTCCCTACAGATTTTAAGTACAGGTTTTTATGTCGGACATGAACTGGTGTAGTATCAAATCGACCACTAGAGGGAGGAAAACAAAAGAATTAAGCAAGTGTGTAGGCCTCTGTCACTGCCCCCCCGGCAGCCGATTCCACTGTTGAACTACTCTTACTGTAAAAAGGTTTTCCCTAAGATCCAGCTGGTACCTTCTGCCCTTAATCGAAACCCATTCTTGTGAGTCCTCTCCTCTGCTGCCCACAGGAACAGCTCCCTGCCCTCCTCTAAAGTGACAGCTTTTCGAATACTTAAAGAGAGCAATCATGTCCCCCCCTCAACCTCCTCTTCTCCAGACCTAACCTTCCCAAGTCCCTCAGCTGTTCCTCGCAGGGCTTGGTCTCCAGGCCCCCGATCATCCTTGTCGCTCTCCTCTGCACCCGCTTCATTCTGTCCATGTCCTGTTTGAAGTGAGGCCTCCAGAACTGCACACAGTAGTCCAGGTGCAGCCTGACCAGTGTGGTGTACAGCTGGACTATGACACCTTGTGATTTGGTTTGATGCCTCTGCTGATAACACCCCAAGATTGCATTAGCCCTTTTTGCTGCTGCATCACACTGACAGCTCATGTTTAGTTTTATAGTCCATACCCCAAGATCTTGTTCAGAAGTGTGTCCCTCGTCCAGTATGCGCGCGTCTCATTTCTGTTACCTAGATGTAGAACTCTGCACTTATCCTTGTCGAATTATGTCTGATTCACGTCTGCCCGCTATTCCAGCGTGTTCAGATCTCGTTGAATGCCGTCTCTAGCTTGTCATCCCCCTTGACGTCTTCCAAACAGGTGCTCAATTCACTCACAATGTTGAAGCCACGTTCTATCCGGGAGAGGAAAAGGTTTCTGTCCAGCAGACGGCGGAAGGGCTGGATGCGGAAAACCACCTCAGCATTAAGACGGACATTCAAGGGCGGGTGCCTTCTGTTCCGGAGGATTCCACCGTCCACATCATGCCTTACAAGGAAATCTACCACTATTCGGATTCAGGTATGGGGGACGTTCTCCTGACCGTTTCTCATGGGCTGCGTGTGGTCATTTGTCTATCACGGGGGTCCCAGTTTGGTGTCGTGGTTAGGAGCGCGGACTCTAATCTGGGGTTTGATGCCCCACTCCTCCACGTGCAGCTGCTGGTGTGACCTTGGGTCAGTCACAAGTTCTCTCAGAGCTGATCTCAAGGACAGTTCTTGAGATAGGCTCTCTCAGCCCCGCCTACCTCTCAGGGTGTCTGTTGTGGCGAGGGGAAGGGAAAAGGAGATTGTAAGCCGCTCTGAGACCCCGAGTGAAGGGCGGGGTATAAATCCACTTTCTTCTTCTCTTCCCAGCCTTTTGAGCCTGTGGGCCTCTTTGGGATTCTGGCACAGATAGGTGGGAAGAGCCACAAAATGGCTACCGTGGGAGGTGGAGACACACACAGAGGAAGCTGAGGTGCAGGGGATATGGATAGTAATTTTACAAAGCGAAAGAGGAGTGCGAGAGAGAATGAAACCAACACTGTGTTGGCAGCTGCCGCCAAAACACTGTCATTTTAGTCTGTACAGCCAATCAGATCTCTAATGGCCAGTCAGAAGCCCTGCTGGATAAGAGCCCCACCCGGCATGCCTTGTGTTCTAAAAGTGCTTGGCAGGTGCTTGGGGACCCCTGGTCTTTCAGGGGCTCTGCATGTTTAGCGTGCGCCACGATGTATGTTGCAGAATTCTGTCTCTCTTCCCCTTCCCCTGTTGCAAACAGGCCATCACCCCTGAGTATGGGTTCCGCATTGCAAGCATTCCAAATGCCCAGGGGGAAAAAATCCAGCGTTCTCAGCCAAAATATACTCTTGGCTATTAGCTGGCGGGTTGACCGGTCAGTCCCCAGCCTCGGCTGTCCTCGGCTGAGCAGTTGGAATGTTCGTGAACATCCCTGCGGAACCTCAGTCGTGCCAGATGCTGGAAGCGAAGACGTCAGCCTGGCTCTTTAACATAGATAGCAACATCTGGTTATTGACAACCAAAACGGCTTTAATATGTTGTCGAGGGCTTTCACGGCCGGAGTTCATTAGCTGTTGTAGATTTTCCGGGTTGTCTGGCCGTGGTCTTGGCATTGTAGGACCTGACGTTTCGCCGGTAGCTGTGACTGGCATCCTCAGAGGTATGACACAGAAAGATGGATTACTCTCTGTGTCAGGGTGAGAAGAAAAATGGTAGGCAGGTAATTTATATCTACTCAGGAATGTGGGGTAGGGCTGAGTAATTATCTTGTAGGCGTTCCCTTGTAGGAGACTCAGCACCTGCTGATGTGACCTTGGGTCAGTCACAAGCTCTGGCACAGCTGTCCTTGAAAAAGAGCAGTTTCTGTCAAGAGTTCTCTCAGCCCCACCCACCTCACAGGGTGTCTGTTGTGGGGAGGGGGAGGGAGAGGAGTTTGGAAGCCGCTCTGAGACTCCAAGTGAAGGGCGGGGTATAAATCCAATCTCCTCTTCCTCTTCTTCTTCTTCCTCTTCTTCTTCCTCTTCCTCCTCTTCCTCTTCTTCTTCCTCTTCCTCCTCTTCTTCCTCTTCCTCTTCTGCTGCTGCTGATTGGATTCATACCCGGCCCTTCACTTGGAATCTCAGAGCGGCTGACAAACTCCTTTCCCTTCCTCAGCCATGCAATCAGAGAAATACCAAAAGTGGTTTCAGGCAGCATGTTTTCCTATTATTAGCTATTTAGAAAATAGAGAAACCGTTCCAAAAAACCCGCTGTACAAGAAGCTGTTGTTGTTTTAACTGTTTGGTAGTTAGTCTATACAAATGTTTGACTTTACTCTGATACTGTGGGAGTTATGTAAGAAAAGCTGTTTAACTGAGCCGGTAATTGCTCTTTGTGTCTGATTTTGTTGTGTTTACGCTGTTAAAACTCAAGTTCAAGTTCAAAACCTTTATTGGCATAGATCACAATCATACAGTCGCCATTCAGTTCATGGATCTGACACACAGCTTCCCCATGATAAGGCAGTTACAGAACTTGGCAACCGCTTCAATAACCGCTATATTTTGTGAAGCCAATAAACGATACAACCTTCTGTCATCGGATTGCTTGGCATCATTCTTAAGAATATCTTCTAGATAGGCTTCCCGAATGTCATCATACAAACTACAATAGAGGAATACATGTTCAATTGTTTCAATCTCCTCTGAATCACCATCACAGAACCTTACAGAGTAGGAGATTTTCTTAAATCTTCCTGCTAAAAGCGCAGAGGGGAGCACATTAAATCGGGCCAGCATAAATGCTCTACGCAGCTGTGGGGAGGTCAGATCCGCTAAGTATTGTGCTGGGGCGTTAATCGGAAAACGTGCCCATCTTACAGGGGAACATCTACCAGAAGCCAAAGCTCTAAGCTCTTGCATTTCAATATCAATTACTCTCTGTTTGATCAGAGCAAAGATGTGTTTGGTAGTTAGTCTATACAAACGTTTGACTTTACTCTGATACTGTGGGAGTTATGTAAGAAAAGCTGTTTAATTGAGCCGGTAATTGCTCTTTGTGACTGATTTTGTTGTGTTTACGCTGTTAAAAATCAATAAAAACAAATATTAAAAAAATAATAATGTGACACTTCTTTGTGATTTCTTTTCTTTTTTGCTTCCTTCCCAAAGTGGTGACGTCCACCTCTTACCGGGAGTATTCCCTCACTTCCAGGAGCCTCAATCAGACCTTTTCCTACCGGCTGGTTCAGAATATCACGTACCAGAGCTGCCCGCACGGGCGCCACCGCTGGGTAGTCCCTGCCGCCCAGCAGCTGACGGTAGACCGGATCTTTGCCCTGTACAACGAGGAGGAGAGGGTGCTGCGTTACGCCGTCACCAACCAGATCGGGTCCCTAACTCAAGGTGAGTCCTGAATAGAGATGTGAAGGCCCGGAAAAAACATTTGTCCCCCGTTTTTTTCCTGAAGACTTTTTTGTTTTCCCCCCCGAAAAATTGGAAAAATTGAAAAAAAGAAAAGAAAAGAAAAAAATGATTATGGAACGTTTTATTTTAACATGGTGAATAAAATATTTTAAGACAAGGTGTTCAAATATTTTCCAAATAATTTCTATATATATATATATATATATATATGGTATTAGATTGATCTAATTGCTGTGCACTGAGGACAAGCAAGTCCTGGGTTACAAACTGAACTCTCCAATGCAAGAACAAGACGCATTTCTTCCTTTAGGAGGTGCTATTGTCAGAAGAAAATTAAAAGGTTTCAGTTTTGTTTTTGCATGTGGGTGGGTATTCTGTTTGTAATAATTGTTTGGATACACTATATTTTCAATATGCCACTTGTGATAATTTCACGCCAAGTGAAAATGTCCATAGTCATATTTTATGTTCCTAAAGTAACAGAATGACGTTCAATCTGGAAAAGAAAAAAGACGTGCTAATGTGGCATTTTTTTCAATTTTTCCCAAAATTTCCATTCCCCCCCGAAAAAAACTGGGGGAAAAATGGGTTTTTTCCCGAGCTTCAAAATTTCCAGAAATTTTACATTTCTAGTCCTGAATATGGGGAGGGCAGGTTCTCGTGGCGTTCCAGCTCTTTGGAGGACTTCCTTATCCCTCAATGGGACCTCAGCATCCGGAATGGCAGCCCTGCTGAGGCAAAAGCATAGGTGGCCGTTTCTCCAGTTGTTGTGAGCAATGCTCCCTCTAAGCTATGGAGTCTTGTGAGCAAAAATTCTACCTTGTGAGCCCTGGCATTAAAGTGGTGAGCGAGCGATTTACTGGATCTGGAATGTAGAGGGGTATCCTCCTTCTCGTTCTCAGCTCTTTCCTGCCCAGCTACTGTGTGCTATCTTACGCTTGACCTTGCAGATGTTCCAGCTCCTGTTTTGACAGCTGGAAAAGTTAACGGCTTCACGGCTATGCCCGCTTGCTTTGCCGTGTGTGCGAACTATATCCATTGGCCTATGCTTACAGGGGGAAGGTTTGATTTCACTATAAGTCAGAGTCCCTAGTACGGACGGCTATTCCTGACGCAACCTGTACACGTGTTCTTTAGTACTGGAACCACTAATAAATAGTTATCTTCTTATGAAGCCTTGTGTGGTGTGACCTGACTAAGGATCCTGACAGTAATCCACTTTGAGCCTCTATGAAAAAGGATTAATAACGTAAATAAATAGAAGCCTGAATTCTCCCTAGAAGCTAAAATGATCAGACCGAGGCTATTTATTTTATTTTATTTGCTTCTATTTCTATCCTACCCATCCCCCAAGCGGGCTCAGGGCAGGTTACAACATTAAGATAAAACAAAAAAAGTCAAGATTAAAACTATAGACTTAACCCTTAAAGGATGGCGATCAAACTACAGCACCACTGTTACAATGGTGCCCTGGTGTTAGACAATTAAAGGCAGAAAGGGCTAGATCCCAAAAGGGGTTCCATATTATAGGTACCCTACCTTGGGTACCTGACTGCCGCATGGCGGAGTGAGCTCCCGTCTCTGGCCCCAGCTCCTGCCAACCTAGCCGTTCGAAAGCAAGAAATTGCAAGTAGATAAATAGGTACCGCTTCAGTGGGAATGTAACAGTGTTCCGTGCACCTTGGCGTCTAGCCATGCCAGCCACATGACCACAGAAACGTCTTCGGACAGCGCTGGCTCTTTGGCTTGGGAACGGAGATGAGCACCGCATCCCTAGAGTCGGAGTCGACTGGCTTTCGAGCAAGGGAAACCTTTACCTTTACCACCTTGGGTAAACCAAGGCGGTTATCATCCTTTGTCCTCGGAAATTGAAGACCATGGTACAGATGGTAACAGAGAGGTAACCGAATGGTAACAGGAGGGACCCGATGACCTTTGACGTCCGCTGCCTGGGCCAAAAGCCGGCCTCACCCAAATTGACCTTTGACGTCTGCTGCCTCACCCAGAATTGTGCAGTGGTCACATTAGGAGAAAGCTAGAGTCACTGGGAAAGACGATAATGCAAGGAAAAGATGGTGGCAGCAGGGAAAG